GGAGGGGCGGCTGGCGGAGCTCGGCGCCGCGAGGGACGGCCTGACGGGGCGCGTGGCGGAGCTGGAGGGGCAGCTGGAGGCCGCAAACGCCTCGCTGCGCGACGCTGAGCGCGCTTGCGACGCATTGGACGGGTACCTGGGAATTGCGGCGTCGGAGGGCGACGGCGGGAGCGATGCACCGGTTGCTGGCCGTCTCCGGCGTGCCTCGGTTGTCGTGCGGGAGCTGACGGAGCAGCATTCTCGCCGTTTGTTTGAGCTTTTTGAAGTTGATTCCCGTCGCATGGCGGAACTCGCATTTTACTCAGCCTCTTCGGCGTTATCTTTGCAGGAATCGAATGAAGTGCTGCGTCTTCTTGAGGCGCAGCGCGGGGAAGCGGAGGCGCTGACGCGCTGTTTTTTTGAATGTGGGGTGCTTGTGAATGGGGCTACGGAGGATTTGCGCGCATCCTTAAGTGATTTAGTCGTGTGCTCTTCTTTCGACGAGTGCTCGTGCAAAGCCGTCGAAGCGTCCTCCTTCTCCGGCGGCGTGGATCTTGCCGGTTTTGTCGCCGAGGTGGGGAGGCTGCGGCGCCTCGCTGAGGCGTGGCACGCGGTTGCGCAGAGTCAGCGTGTGGCTTGTGGGCGTTATGAGGGGGTGGGCGAGTCGTTGCGCGACGTCTTTGCGGCGCTGGGGATGGAGGCCCCCGCCGCCGCCGTGGCTGATGCGCTGGAAGCGCGTGAGGAGGCGCTGGGGGGCGTAGTGGCATGGGCGGCCGCCGCGGGGGATGAGGGGAGGGCGCCGCTGGCGCGCTACGCGGAGGCCGCAGCAGGGGTGCTGGGGGCCGTGGAGGCGGACGTGCTGCGCTGCGTGCCGCGTGCGGTGGGGCGTATTGCGGAGTTGCGCCGCGCCCACGACGCGGTGGTGGCGGCGGTGGGGGAGGGAAAAGTGTGGGCGGCGGCGGCTGCCGGTGGCGGCGAAGAGGAGGCGGCGGCGGCGCTGCCGCGGGAGTTGGCGGGGCCTGACGTGGAGGAGGAGCCCGTCGTCACGAAGATCCATTGGCTGCAGTTGTGCGTGCGGGACGCGCGGACTTCTCTCGCGACGTCCGTCGGTGGCGTTGACGACGACCACGAGGCCGTCGAAAGTGGCGTCGGCGCGGTGCAGCAGCCTTTCGCCGCCCTTCCGCTGGAGAAGCGGGTGCACGAGCTGCGGGAGGAGTGCGAGAAGGCGGCGGCGGCGTTCGTGGAAATCAAGTCGCTTTTGTGTGGCGACACGGAGGAGCAGGAGGCGCGGGACGGGGGCGACGGGGCAGCTGGCGCGGACGGCCCCGGCGCCGGTCTGCCCGTGCACGGCTACGACGACCTTGTGAGGCTCGCGCGGCGCTGCGTGGCGCGGGCCCGCGAGGAGCGGGAGAAGAACCAGCGGCTCTGCGAGGAACTGCGTCGTATGCTCGACAACACGTCCGCCACGCCGGACTCCCCGGCCGGCTCGTCGCCGCCGGTGTTGCGGCTGCAGCCGCCCGTTACCGCGGACGCCGCCGTGCTCGCCAGTGAGAAGACGAAGCTGCTGATGTCGATGCGCGAGCCCGTGGATACGGAAGCTGACGCGGGTGGCGCGGGGCAAACGCTTCCGTCGCCGAAGCGGCTGGAGTCGTTTGAGATTGTGCACCAGGTGAAGGATCACATCAACTCGCGGGCGGCGGAGGTGCGGGTGCTGCGCACCGCCATGACGACGAGTGTCGAGACGCTTGGCGGCGACGCCTTGTCCCACGGTGCCGACTCGCACGCCATCGCCAGCGTGCTGCTGGACCTTGTGCGGGAGACGAGCTCCTCCATCAGCGAGGTGCACGCGATCATCGACCCCGACTCCGCCGCCGTGCGGCATGGCCCGCTGCGGCTGCGCGACATCGTGGGCCGCCTCGAGGCGAAGGTGCAGAATTGGGAGAGGAGCATGCGGGAGGCGCGGGCGCTCGTGGACTCCGTCATGCACGTGAACGACCCGAACTTTGCGCTCGTCGCCCCGCCCGGCCGCGCACTCACGCGCAAGGCGAAGCCGCAGCCGGTCGCGGCCGGGCGGGTGGACGACCCCCTCGTGCTCAGCCGCACCTTCCCGGCGTCGACGGAGGGCGCGATGCTCGCCAACTTGGACGCCGCGGCCGTCCCGGCCGCGTCCGCCACGAGTTGCCCCACCAGCGTGTCCTCCGCCGACGCCGCGGGCGGTTTTGGGCTGAATGAGAAACTGATCCGCGACGCCGTCCTCGAAGTGCGCGCGAAACTCGTTGGGATCCGGCAGCTGACGAACGCCTGCGTCACCGCCGTCTGCCTGATGGGCGGCGGGGAGGGGGGGAGCCAGACGCTCGACATGCTGCCGGTGCGGCTCCTGCAGAAGGCGCAGGAGGTGAGCGAGGTGATCCAGATGACGCGGGACGCCGCCGCCGTGCTGGACGAAGCGGGGGAGGGGCAGGCGGAGGCGGCAGCAGCATGCGGCGGGGACGGCGGCTCGCTAGCGATGTCGCCAACGCTTCGCGCCCGCGTGGAGCGCCTCATTAAGGGCGCGAAGGTGCTGCGCAACGAGAATGGGACGCTGCGGCTGGAGGGAGACGTCCTGCAGCGGCAAAAGGCGTTTCTGCTGCGTGATTTTGAAGATATGCGGCTAAAATACGCGCGAGCGGAGCGGCTGCGCAGCGAGGCACTCGCGAAACTCTCGGCGGAGCGCGACGAACTCCGCGGGAAGATCGAGGGCTGCACGCGGGACATCCAGCAGCGGGACGACACGCTTGCGCAGCAGCAGCAGCGGACCGCCGAGCTTCAGGAGGCGTGCAACAGGCTCCATGTCGAGTGCGAGCTGCTGCAGCGGCACTTGACGACGGTGCGTGCCACGCGGGACGATTTGCAGGCGTCGGAGATGGGCTTGCGGGATGCGGCCGTGATGGTGCGGCGAGCATCCGCGTTTGTGCGCGAAGGGCTCTACAGCGCCATTGAACAACCAGCAAGGAAGTCGTTCTCTCAAACGGCAGCAGCAGAAGCAGAAGCAGTGGCGGCGGTAAAGCCCGCTGGGGCGCCTGCGCAAGACGAGGAACGAGAGGACACCGTGCAGGCATCGGCGGTCCGGGATGCGGTCCCCTCCGCGGCGCAGCTACTGGCGGAGAGCGGCCGTGACCTGCGTCGCTGTGGGCAGGCCCTCCAGCAGCTTAGACTGCACCTACGCACCGAGACGCAGCTGCGCAATTGGGTGCTGCAGGTGTGTGAGCAGAAGAAGGTTGTGTTGGTTGATTGGGAGGCGGCCGAGCGAGCTCTCCTGCTTGAGGCGTTCCGCGCTGGGGTCTTGTGGCTGAGCGAAAAAAAGCGGGCGGCGAAGGAGCGGGAAGATGCGGTTCACTCCCTGCAGCAGCGCCTGGAAGAGGAATTCCGCAGTCACGAGGAGGAGCGCGCGACGTGGCGGCGGCGATTGCACGACCTGGACGAGTCTTACGCTGAGCGCGGCGCCACGTTGCAGCGCTGCATGGATTCCCTGCGGGACTGCGGCGCGCAGCAGGAGCTCCTGCGCACCGAGGCGGAGAATTGGCGCTTCCGCGCGGCGGCCGCAGCGGATGAGGCCGCCGCCACGCGCGCCGACGCCTGCAAATTACGACAGGCGCTGGAGGAGCTCCGCGGTCATCTGGAGGGGCAGACGAAGCGGAGCACGACGCCCGCGGGGGGGGCCGGGTGGGGTCCGCCTCGTGCGGCACGCAGCTGGACTGCATGCCGGCCGTCCTCGAGCTTGTGGCGGCGGTGGGCGGCGATGGGGCGGCTGGGGAGGAGCGGCTGGGGGAGCGACTGGCCGACGCCGTCGGGTGCGCGCGGACGCTCGCCACGGACCGCTCGCGCTGCCAGGCGCTGCTGCAGGAGGAGCTGGCGATGATGGGCGGCGGCGACGGCGCGGCGCTGCGGGAGCCGCTCGCGAGGCTCGTAGAGCGGCACAAGAGTCAGCTGGAGCGGCTCTCCGCCGAGCGGGCCACGCTGGTTGAGGCGTGGCAGACGGCGCAGCACGACGTGTCGCGGCTCCGGCGCGAGTTGCACGCGCGCGAGGAGAACCATGCGCGCGAAACGGAGGAGATGGGGCGCCGCATCAGCGACCTGCGCGCCATGGTGCAGCGGAAGCTCGAGGCGGACGCGCGGGCGGAGCAGCAGATGGAGGAGATCCAGTTGGTGATGGACCAGCACCTCGCCGAGATGTGCAAGCACGCCACGGAGGAGGCGGCTGTGGCCCGCCACCTGGGCGAGCTGCGCCGGCTCCTGCGAACAAAAACAAGCGTCCAAAGAAGTACCCGAATGCGTTTTTAGTGGAACTTGCAACCCGGTGGTTGAAGTTATTGAAGTCAACCTCCGGCGTTTATTTTGTTTTGTTTTGTTTTTGTTTTGTGTTGCCTTTTTTTTCCTTTTTTTTGTTTTTGCTTTTGCTTTTACTTTTACTTTCTCTGCGTGCCGAAAAGCTACACGCTGCAGGCGCAAGTGTGTGTGTCTGTGCGGTGGGAGGGGGCAGCACCCGCCCCCGCGTGCGTGGAGTGCGTGCCACGCCTCGCTTCCCCCTGTTGCCCCCCTTTTTATTGTGCGTTGCCTTCGCCTGGAACCAAAACTCCCCCCCCCCCACCGCAACTAACAAAAAAAACACACACGCACAAACAAAAAAAAGGTACAAGAGACGGCGCCAGGCGGAAATCGAGGGGGCGACGAAACACACACACAAACACACAAGCTCAAAGGTGCTCGCGAGTTCCTCGCCACCTCCGCGCGGTGAAGCGCCGTCGCAGCTCGGGAGCGGCGAGTCCGCCGCGTCGGACGCCGGGGCGCCGTCCGCGTGCCGCAGCAGGTGGTCGAGGGCCCTGCGGGCGGGATCGCTTCTCCTCACTGCACTGGCATTTGTCGTGTGCGTGTTCGGGGTGAGCGGCAGGAGCCAACTTATTGTGCGGGCGAGCGGCTGGGACGAGGTTTTTGCTGTGGTCGGGGCGTACTGCCTCTTCTACGCCGCGGCCGCCGTCTATCAAACGACCCCGCGCCTGCCCTGCGTGACACGCGTGCTCGAGACAAACCTCTGCTTCTACGCGTTACAGCTGCTCCTGTGGCTGACGTACGTGGCGCAGCAGGCCGTCTTGCTGGCGTACCTCGTGAAGTACGTCGGCCCCCTCTGCTGGCTTTTCCTCGTCCCCGACCTCGCCGTCGCCGTCATGCTGACGGCGACGGCGACGCTGACCGTGTCGGCCGCGCAGCTTGCGCGGCACTGGCCGGCGCCCTACGTTTTCGCCCAGGCAGGGAAGCTGGCGGTGTTGTGGTCCGCGCTGGGAGCGGCGATGGCGTCCGCGACGCGAATGGGGGCCGATGGCCTGCTGGGAGCGCTGATGCTGACGATACCGGTGGTGCAGTTCCCGGTGCTGCTCTCTCGGCTGCGTGTGGGGATGTCCTTGACGAGGGCGTACACCACAAACATGGCGGCGGTCTTTGCCCACGTGCTGCACTTCATGGATGTGCTGCAGCTCTACTTCACCGGAACGGAGCTGGGGCAGTTCCCGGTCAACGTCAAACTGCTTGTGCTCTTCCTTGCCATCGTCGGACACACCACCAGCAACATGTACTACACAGCGCTCTTCCTGAAGGACGAGGAGACCGTGCGGTTCCTGCGCCGCTTCGGCGCGCGCGGCGAGGACGGCACCGACCTGATTGCCCGCACGGAGCGGCCGAGGGACGACGAGCTGCTGCACTACTTCCTCTGGACGTTCTTTTTTATCGACCTTCCCTACGCCGTGGTGCGGCTGGTGGCACTCGCCGTCCACGGCGCGGCGGTGTCGGTGTTCCTCGGGAAGAACTTCATGATGGCGGTGGGCGTCGTCATGCTTCTGCTGCGCGGGCGCACGCCGTAGAGCGGCGCCACTGACGACGCCTACCCCGCCCCCAACACGTTCGCCGCTTGCCGTCGACCGCCACGGACCTCCTCCGTGGGTCGGGCACGCCCCCGCCGCTTCTCTCACACTGCGCCCCTTGCATTACCTGCACACTCACTCCCCCGTCTTTGCCTGCAACCGCCGCGCATACCTCCTCCTCGCCTTCCCGTCGCTTCTGCTCCCCTGAAAGAAAGACGTTACGGAACGGCAACAATAGCTACCTATCGTGCGCACGTGCGTGTTGTTTTTTTGACTGCCGTTGGGATGCCGTCGCCCTACCGAGACAGACTGGCGACCTTCTACGAGCGCTACGCGCCCGCCAAGCTGAGGCAGGTGGACGCACAGCTGCAGAAGTACGCCGGCCGTGAGGAGGACTTCTTCGCTGCACTCGTGCAAAAGTATGGCCCGGAGCCGGCGGTGGCTGCAGCTGTTGCTGCCACGCCCGCCGCCGCTGCTACGCCCGCCACCAGTTCTCCTGCAAACAGGTCTCTCGCCCTCGCTCCTGCTGGCGCGCCGTCGCCCTACCGAGACAGACTGGCGACCTTCTACGAGCGCTACGCGCCCGCCAAGCTGAGG